CGACTCTGGATCCAGGAAGATTCCTGGCGTAGACATCCCAAAGACTTAAGCCATGCCACCTAAAGTCTGATAGGACTTTTTGGCAAACAAACCAACACAACTGATTTTCACAGTGTAAGATCTAGTGTAATGAAAATAATTCTCTTTATTTTTTGAGAGAGTCTCATGTAGGCCAGGCTGGCCTGGGACTGACTGTGTAGATGAGGATGACCTTCAACTCGGTATCTTCCTGCTTCAACCTTTACAGTGCTGAGATTACAGGTCTGTGTGCTGCCTCACCTGTCATCCTTGTTCTAATATGGGAATTTCCTCCTTATGATTTCAGTGTTTCCTGTATAATTGTTATATTAAGAGACAACTTTCGCCTCACACGCCTTTAATACCAGCACTTGGGAGGCAGAGGCAGGCAGATCTCCATGAGTTCAAGGCCAGCCTGGTCTACATAGTGAGTTCCAGGACAGCTGGGCCTACAGGGAGACCCTGTCTCAAAAAGACAGTGACATCCTGGCTAAAAAAAAAAAAAAAAAAAAAAAAAAAAAAAGAGAGATAACTTTCTTGTGAAGTACAATTCAGGTCACTGTAATTAGAGAACAGCAGGAAATAGCTCTTTGTTTATTCATGCGTTTGTTGAATGACACTCATTCAATTAGCCACGGCCATAAAATATGCTGGTTATGTTATGGCAGGTGAAAAACCTCAAATGTGCAGAATGTCTTCTCCTCCCTACCCCTCCCTTTTCCCCTCCTCCTCCTCTTCCCCCCTCCTCCTTCTCCTCCTCCCTTCTCCCCCTCCTCCTCTTCCCCCCTCCTCCTTCTCCTCCTCCCTTCTCCCCCTCCTCCTCTTCCCCCCTCCTCCTTCTCCTCCTCCCTTCTCCCCCTCCTCCTCTTCCCCCCTCCTCCTTCTCCTCCTCCCTTCTCCCCCTCCTCCTCTTCCCCCCTCCTCCTTCTCCTCCTCCCTTCTCCCCCTCCTCCTCTTCCCCCCTCCTCCTTCTCCTCCTCCCTTCTCCCCCTCCTCCTCTTCCCCCCTCCTCCTTCTCCTCCTCCCTTCTCCCCCTCCTCCTCTTCCCCCCTCCTCCTTCTCCTACTCCCTTCTCCCCCTTCATCCTCTCCCCCTCCTCCTCCTCCTCCCTTCTCCCCCCTCTCCTCTTCCCCCCTCCTCCTTCTCCTCCTTTGTCTCCTTCATCGCCCCTTTTCAAGATAACCAAATCATGACATGGTGATGCGTGGGTATAATCCCAGCACTCAGAGGGCTCAGGCTGGCCTAGAATAACAGTTTGACAATGCCCTAAGGACAAACTTGAAATGAGTCCTGATGTTGAGATGTTATTCTTCCCACAGAGAAAGTCTGACCACCTGTACCTGTGCTTTGCTTACCCACAAACCTCTTCTGCCCCTAAGATAGCTGTGGGTCAACCATAATCACTTACAAATGATCTGCTCTCCTTTGTTTTCCTGAGGAGAACTTCAGGGTTATTTGAGAGGGGGTAGGGTGAGGTGGGAGATGGGGACAGGGTGGGGGAGGGGAGATAGGGCAGGAAGGGAAGCAGAGGGGGCTGGGACAAGGGGAGGTACTCTATTTGATTATTAGGTGTAACCCTCCCTTGACTTCGGCCTCAAAGTCTTTCCTGCTATTTGGGCCTCTGGTCTGCACAGTGGGCTCTGTGGTGTCACCTGGACCTGTGGGGTCACTGGTTCTTTATGCTGTTTGCAGCTACTTTGAGTGGCCTGTAAAGGTCACAAACACTAAAGAAATAACAAGCTGGGGGCATCCCTCTGGCTCTCCATGACCAAATACTGCCTTGCATCACCCTCTTCCCCCTGAGGGCCTATTGACGGAGAACCCAGGACCTTACTGGGGTTTGGATCTCCCTGAGGAGTGAGATCAGATACCCTGGATTCAGATCTCCACATAAGTCCGGGAATTCCACCGATTGTCTCCATAGCCTTTCTAGGGAACCTAGGGAACAGCTCCTGTCTGAGGGGAGGCAGGAGTAGACCCAGGGCCTTTCCTGGGGTTTATAACAAAACCTCTGTGTGACAGTATCTTTAAAAAATGTGTTACTGTGTGTGTGTAGGTGTGTGTGTGACACAGGCTTGTGTGGAGGTCAGAGGACAGCCCTCTGGAGTTTTTCTTGTTGTTGCTGTGTGTTCCAGGCTGTCTGGCCCACAAGTTTCTGGGCAAGCCTCCTGCCTACCTCTCTTTCCTGTCTAGCAGAAGTGCTGGGATTATAGATGTGGGTTCTGGGTATTGAACTCAGGCCTTCAGGCTTGGTGCCAAGTGCTGAGCCATCTCATCGATCCAGATGACATCTTTACTCACAGGGACCCCCAGGACTCCATCTCTGCCCATTGTCATGTTGAGCTGCCCACGGGTGCTGAGATGGTGACACTGACCTGAGATGGTTTTGTGACCTGAGCAACCTTGGCCATGACAGTGTCAAAGTATGACATGGAGACAAAGCTTTAAGTGGCTTCATGTCTCTGCCCAGTCTTCAGCTTCTCTCATGTGCTTCGAGAATCGTCCAAGTCCTACACAGGCATCTTCTGCCAGGTTTCATGGGCAGAGCCTCAGCTGACCCACCAAATAGACTGTGGGCAAAACCCATTTAGATTTGGAGGCTGTTCTTTTTTTCCTGTGGCAAAAGTGATGAATAGTTTGTGGCTGATTTCTTTTTCTTTAAGCTTTTTAGGAGCTGGAACTCATAAAATCCAGAAGTTCCTAACAAAAGCTTTGATTTATGGGGCCACTGTCTCTGCCGTGAGATTCGATCTGCTAATGAAACAGACCTCTGGGGATTGCCTGCTTTTTTCCCAGAGCAGGGAGGAAATGTCCAAGCTGTGTGAGAAAAGTACTGGGGTAGTGAACATGGAATTGTATGTGTGCACACCTCCATGTGTGTGCATGCATGTGTATGCATGACCACATACATGCACACACAAAGTTAGAAGGTGGGGCCCTTACATTAATTCTTTAGTTTTAAAAAAATATTTATTTTTGTTTTATGTGTATGACTGTATTGCCTGCATGTATGTGAGTGAACCTGTGTTGTGCAATGCTGTGGAGGTCAGAAGAGGGCTTTGGATTGTCCTGGAATTGGAGTTAAGGACAGTTCATAGCTGCCATGTGGGTGCTGGGACTCAAACCCGGGTCCTCTGCAAGAGCAGTCAGTGCTCTTAACTGCTGAGCCATCTCTCCAGCCCCGATTCTTCAGGTTTTTATCCTGACATTTATGCATGAAAGCACAAACTATAGACTGAGAATGCCAAGGTTTCTTCCTGTACTTGGGGAGTTTGAGGCAGATGGAATATGTAAGCAATTATTTATTTATTTTATGTGTATGAGTGTATCACCTGCATGTAAGTAAGTGCACCCATGTCGTGCAATGCCCAAAGAGGTCAGAAGAGGGCATTGAATTTCCCTGGAACTGGAGTTAAAGATGGTTGTTAGCTACCATGTGGTACTGGGACTTGAACCTGGGTCCTCTGGAAGAGCAGCCAGTGCTCTTAACCACTGAGCCATTGCTCCAGCCCCACAGTGAGCAGTTATAAGGTGAGGAAAGGGTACCGCGGGTTACCATGATGCACAGAGAAAGTGCTGTGGAACCTTGTGGAAGGTGGCCTCGGAGGACTGCAAGGTTAGACACTCATGGGCAGGGAGAAAGGCCTTCTGTCTTCAGGACACAGGCAAATTGCACAGGTGGTTCAGTCAGCCAGAGGCCTGTGATGGTTGACAGGCTCTAGAGTCACGTGGAGACAAACCTCTGGGCCTGAGGGCTAGGAGAAGACATCCTGAATGTGGCTGGTACCATCCATACCGACCCTCTGCTTCCTGTCTGGGCCTGTGTGATCGATGGCTTGGGAGCCTTCCTGACTGTGAGGGACCAGGCCTCTAACCCTGAGCCAAAATAAAAACTTCCTTCCTTCAGGTGCTTTGTCAATTACTTTATCACAACAGACAAGTAAGTAACACGATGAGGACAGTGGGGAGGTCAGTGGGAGAAAAGTCAGCCAGGGCCCAGGCTGGTCCCACCTGAAGACATGTGACTGGCTGGGGCCTGTGAGGGACGCCTGTAGGCCTCTTCTGCCCTCCAGATTTTAAAACTGACATGGAATTTGAGCTATCATGTGCACACACATACTTGGAAAACCCACTTGGGTGGTGGTTCCCTTCTCCAGTGTCCAGTGCCCTCTATCTGTGTCTGCCCACAGTCCTTCCTCACACTGGTCCAGCCAGTGCCCTGCTGTCCTTGGAGCGGTATGGTGCGAGTTTCAGTTTCAGATGATGCTTGCCTAGGTTTGCCTGTGACTGGGCACATCTTACTGTCCTGAGACTTCCGTGGCATCTTAGTTAATGGTTACACCACGTGATGGCACTTGATGCGTCTGAACCGCGCTCTGCAAGAGGGTCAAAATGGCAAATTCCTGTCATGTGTGCAAGGAGAAAAAAAATCCAAACCGAACCCCCCTTGCAGGTTATCCACGCAGAAGCGGCACAAGTTTAGGACCCGAGGGTTGCATTTCTCCGCACGTCTCTGTCTCCCCCGGGGATGTCCGGGGGGCTGTGCGGGGAGGGGGTGACCCGAGGCTAGCCCATCCTCCTTGTCCTGCAGGTGAAGCCGCGAGGGTCGGGAGGAGGTGTCTTCCACCTCCGTCCAGGGCAGGTGGTCTGGGCCCGGCTCTGCGCCTCAGTCCCCGGGCGGGGGCCCCCGCGGTGTGGGTTCCAGGCGCGGCACCTGCAGGCGGAGCAAGGCTGGAACGAACGCCTGCACCTGCTCCAGGAACACGGAGCTGCAGCCCTCCCCGGGGCCTAGCTGCAGGGCAGGCGGGGGCAGCGGCGCGGGGCCACCGGGCCGGGGTGGCGCATCCTCAGCATCCCAACCCCGCGCCGCCGCCGTCCCTCACCTGCCGGGCGCCCGGGGTCTGCCGGGCCGCCGCTGCCCACGCACATGCGCAGTGCCGCCGCCGGCGCCCTGCCTCCTCCGCCGCCGCCTCCCGGTTCCGCAGTCACTTCCTGCAGCTGTTTCCCTGGGGCTCGGCTCCGACCGACTTTTGACAGTCACCCTCCAGAGGCGGGAGCGGCCTGGCGGCGACGGCGAGCAGAGAAAGTGGCTGGGAAGCGAGCGCGCGGCGAGGCGTCTGCGGCCGGCCGGATTCGGGTAAGTGCGCGGGGGCTCGGCCGCCGGGGTCCCCTCCGGGTCCCCAGCCCCGCTCGCCCACCCGGCGTCCATGCGCACCCGGCATCGGTGCGCGCAGCCGCCTGGCGGGTGTGGGCTCCGTGCGCCCGTGTGCGTGGCCCGCTCGGGGAGCCTTGGACGGCGATGCTGCAGCCGCCGCAGCCGCGACTCCGAGAGCTGAGCCCGGTGCTCGGCCTCCTCCGGCCGTAGCCGGCCTTCCGTGCTGAGCCGCGGCCTCCCGGGGCCGCTTCTCCGCGCTGCGTTCGGGTGACCTCTGGCTTGGGCTCGCTGCGCCCGGCGGAGTACCCAGAGACACCCAGGCTTCCCCAGGTCGCCCAGCTGGGAATCGGTTTCTGGATTCTGTGCCCTTCCCTCCGCCCAGGGGAGCTTGACTGTTTTCAGGACGGTGTGCGATCAGTAGGCCCTTGCACAGCCGCGGAAACTGTGTGAGCCCGGATCCTTCGTCTCCCTCGAACCCGGAGCGTGGAGGCGCTGGGATCCATAGTGTCTTCTCAGCTCCTTTCCGAATTAGGACGCCGTGCCCCGTACATCTTTCATGTGTGCCGTTGCGCGCATCTAATCCAATGGTTTTTAAGATCTAAGGAGTATTTTTATGTCGGCTTCTAAATCAGTCTCAAATTAATGCAGTCGTTGAGTGGGTCTGAGTCACGTATGTTTTGGGTCTCAGTGCTGCACCCTTTGCATCCACTGAAGGCTTGGCTTGATTTATTCTAGACTGATGCATTTTGTTTTCAAATGTGCTGAGACCTGTTGTGACTGTCACCTGTAGATTTGTTTAGAGTTGGCTCTGTGTTGATTGTCAACTATAGCAGAAGTATTTTCGAGATATCTAGTCTTCCTTTGAACATCGTGGAAATAAGATGTCACAGCAGGTAAGTCTGCGCTGCAATTCTTCACCCAGTTCCATGCTCTGCCATGAGGCCTTTGGCTCCTCTGTGCTTTAAGAGGGGCCTTGTTTTTGATGGAAGGCTGTATGTCACAGTGGGTGATAACGCATCCTGGGACTTCCTCTGGTGGGGGCAAGCATGCTTAAACAAGTCCAGGCATGTCTTTGCAGCCTTCGGCCCCGTGTATACTGCTGACTTTATTCAGAGGTTCTGGGGTCCCCAGCCTTTCTGGGTGACCTGCCACCATGGAAAAGGACCCAACAGTGTATGTGGAGTGAACTTCAGTGTGAGGGTCAGTCATTGTGACTGAGCAGTTAGACTGTTTAAAAGCCGGTCTTTGCTTCTGTTTTCCCTCTGGTTTTCAATATCACTAATCATCTTTGCTTTCTGGATGTCTTTGGTTGACTTAATTGGGAGAAATACAACTGTTATAGACCTGACTTCTTCAAGGTGTAAATCTGTGTTGGTTTTCTTTAAGTTCCCGGAGATATGGAACAGCATAATTCTGTTTAGTTGAATAATATTATCACTTTCCAAAATGTTATGATTAATGATAAGTACTGTTTAATTCTGTGACTAGTCCGTTTTGCCCTTAACTATATTATTTCCCAGTCAGTGGCTCCTTTCCTGTCCCAGACCCTGGGTTTAGTACAAAATGTGTTGCTTGGTTGTGATTTTCAGTGCTGGGTGCTTATCAAATGTGGTTAAACAGACTTTACTTTTTAAAACTTGATTCATTTTAGAAAATCTAAATCTACTGCTTTAACCTACACAATTCTATCACAGACTGGAAACTTCAGCAGCCAAAGACTGTAGATTTTGAGTTAAGCATTCTAATTTGAGTTAGTTAGAATCTCAGGAACTGGGAGGGTGGGTTGTAGTGAATTTTGATGTGCTCAGAGTTTATGCTGTCTATGTGGTGAGCAGGATGGAATGGGGATAGAGGTTGTAAGAGACTGGACATGTTGGGTCTTCTCTGAGGAAAACAGAATAAGTGTCTTGGTTTCTTCTATGTCACCTTGATAAATATTCTGACAAAGCAATGTAAGGGAGGAAGGATTTCTTTCAGCTTATAGTTAAGGCATGGTCTACGTCAGGGCAGCAGGAGCTGGGCAACTAGTCACATCAGGTCCACAGTCAGAAGACAGCAGTGAATGCCAGTGCCCAGCTTGGTCCCCTTTCATGCAGACCAGGACCCTGATCAGGAAATGGTGCCACACACATTTAGGGTGGGGTTTCCCATCTCAGACAGGTTAAGAAAATTCCCCATAGACATGCCCATAGGCCCACCTAATCTAGACAGCTCATCATTGAGACTTCTTTCCCAGGCGATTCTAAATCCTGCCAAGTTGACAGCTGAAAGTAACAGTCAGAGAGAGCAACCTTACTGTCTGTAAGGGAGTGGAAGGATTCTCTGGGGCTCAGGATGGCTGGCCTGTTACCCCTTTAGACATTCCCACCTATCTTGTGCTGGTGATCTGTGTCCTGAAAGAGGGTAAATATTTTGATTTTGTAAGAGGCTCAGGACTGAGTAGTCTAAGGTTGCATGAAGCAGGGCCATAAACATGGCCTCCACACAGCACCCGTAGGATGACGTGGCCTGGAGAAGGCCAGCCTGGCTAGTGGGATGGTGCCTCTGGCATCTTTCTGTGGAGGACATGGGCCCAGTGTCACCAGGTTATCCTTTCACCCCTAGATGCTGCAAAGCTCCTGATTTTTAAGTATCAACAACTAGTGTAATTTAAAAATGAGAGCAAAATAAAATATCTTCCAAACGTCGCGTTACGGCTCTTTCTCAACACTGTCTTGAGGAGCCACTGGCTCAGTTACTTAAATATTGCTGGTTGGCTAGAAGGAACACTTTTTATTTAATTCTGTTACCTTTTTTTTTTTAAAGACATGGTCTCACTATGTAACCCTGACTGGTCTGGAACTCACCATGTAGATCAGGCTGACCTCAAACTCACAGAGATCTGCTTGCCTGTGTCTCCCCAGTGCTAGGATTAAAGGTGTCCACCCCTCTTCTTTTCTGGTATGTTTTAATGCTGTGTTCTTCTCAGAGCTCATCCTTCTTTTAGTTAGTTGTAGAAGGGCCCCAGGGACTGTGATAGGCAGCTGGGTGTGGCTGTGCAGGATTGTGATCCCAGCACTTTTGAGGTAGTCAGGAAGAGCAGGGTTGGAAGTCTCCTCAGCAATAGAATAAACTTGAGGCCAGCCTGGGCTACATGAGACTCTATCTTGAAAAGCTAAAATAGGGGGCTGGTGAGATGTCTCAGGGAGTAAAGCACTTGTTGCGGAAGCCTGGACCCAAGTTTGAGCCCCAGAACCCTTGTGGGAAACCAGGTGGACAGAGAGTACACATATACAGTAAACACTCCCTCTTTCTCACACATACTAATAACATAGAAGAAAACTACCATGTATAATTCCTACGGATGATGCTTCCTAGCTCTTTGACATCCTTTCGGGGGTAGGAGATTCTTAACTAGTAGATTTTCCTTGAATTTTTTATTTCTGTGTGGTTATCATCAGGAGTGTTGTGGGCTGCAGAGGGAAGGGTCTGGATTAGGTGACCTCTAATGTCCATCCAGCCATGTGACTTTTCAACTTAATTAGCTATGGATGCAGTGCTGTTAGTGCCGTGGCCAGAGGGATGGCAGTTGGAACTGAGCCAAGAAAAATAAGCCAGATCTTTAAAGCCTTGTGTCAGTGGGCTGAGCTGACAGGGAAGCCTGCTAGCCTGAGGCAGAGGAGAGAAGCCCCAAAGGTGGGTTTGGAGGGGAAACAGCCTCTGGAGTCATGTACATGTCATATTGCTGAGGTCTCACTTGTTTTCCTCTGTTGCTTTAGGCTTGAAGACTTCACCCTTCATCACTCACTGGATTATGACCTCAGCTTTCCTGCCCGATGATTCTCCTGCAGCAGGCTGGGCTTCCTCCACCTAAGCAGCCCTCTCCCTCTCCTCCTATGTCAGTGGCGGCCCGGTCCACAAGGACCTTGCAGCTTCTGCCACAAAAGCCTTTTGGGCAGGCGGCGTCCTTACCTCTGGCAGGGGAAGAGGAGGTAGCTAAGGGAGGGGAGCCAGACTCTGCCCTGGAGGAGCTGTGTAAGCCCCTCTACTGCAAACTCTGTAATGTCACCTTGAACTCAGCCCAGCAAGCCCAGGCTCACTATCAGGTAAGTGGGGGACGTTTTGGGTGCTGGCTGGTGAGACACTGTCTAGGTATGACCAGCTGTGCCTGGAAAATTCAGAGGATGTAGAGAAGTGTCATGGTTCACACAGTGGGTCTTATCTGTGGGGCATTGGATAGCTTTCTTTGTGAGCAATTGTAAACCTGCAGGTGTTTAAATCTGTGGTCTGGAGGAGAACAGGTGTTGCAGACTTGATGTACACACTCACTTCAGTGTAGAACTGTTGTTTAGAAGTGCATACAACTTGTATCAATTCAAGGCCATCTCCTGTATAACTCTTATGATTTTGAGTTTTTACTTCAAACTCTTTCTATACATCTCTTGTAGCTGATGAAAATACAGGTGTCCTTTTGTAAGTCCTATCCTTTACTTAGAAGCGTATTCTGGTTTCTTTTAGTCTGGGAGGTGAACTGATATTAAGATCTAAAGCATTTTATCTTCATGCAGAAGAGCTTGTGGAAATGATCCTTTTATTTATTTATTTATTTATATTATTTTTTATTTTGTGTGTATGAATGTATTGCCTGCATGTATGTAGGTGTACCCATGTCATGCAATGCCCGAGGAGGTCACAAGAGGGCATTGGATTCCCTTGAAACTAGAGATGATTCTTAGTTGCTGTGTGGGTGTTGGGAATGGAACCCAGATCCTCTGCAAGAGTAACTGGTACTCTTAACCTCTGAGCCATCTCTCTAGCCCCCGAAAAGACCATTTAAAGGGCATTATTGCCTAAGAATAAATGGGAAGTTAAAAGAGTGTATAACATTTTTTTTAAAAAAGATTTTATTGTAATTTATGTACATGTGTATGCCTACATGTGTGTATGTGCACATGCATGTAGGTGCCTGCAGAGGCCAGAAGAGGGTGTTGGATTCTTTGAAGCTGGAGTTACAGGTGGTGTGGGTGCTGGAACTCCAGTCCTCTGCAAGAGCAGCAAGTGGTCTTAACTGCTGGACCATCTTTCTAACCCCCAGCATTTATTTATATTTTATATTGTTGTCTAGATAAAATTTGGAGAAAAGAGACCTGGGAGATAGAAACCTTCTCTGAGTGGAGGGCTATCTTCTGGGCCGTCTTTGATTTAATTATTTATTAATGGTAAGGCAGCATAGTAGGGTGCTGTTAGACACAGGGATTTCTTCTCTCCTGCCACTATAATTTTCTCCAATTTACAGTTTCATTTACTGTGTGTTTGAGTCTTTTCAACTTTATTTTGTTTTGATGCTAAAGACAGATAGGGACACTTTGCAGTCTTCTCGTAGAATTATTTCCAAGGTGAATGGTTTTCCCTAGTATTCATGGGACGATAAGGTCTCTGTTCTACCTTGGGATTTTTCTGTCTCCTCTAATTCCTTGCGGCTGATCTTAGCACGGCTTTGCTTCATCGAGGCCTCTTCTGCCCTCTTTTTAATTTTCTTCCTCCTCAGTCCCCTGTGCACCACTCTCCAGGACAGTGCCTGATGTCCATACTCAGGTGACACCTGAGGGATAATCCGTCTCCACCTGAGGCTCGGTCAGCTTGCTTCTACACTTACTCCTGTGAACGTTCAGTTTTATCTAAGATTCACTTTGAAAAAACCAAGAGTGAGGTCCAAGTTGGATACTTGGACTCCTGGAGCCCTTCCTAGATGTGGGCACAGACTTGCTTTGTGCCTTGCATGTAGTAATTACTTTTTAAGGAGAATTGGGTGAAATGTGACTGTCATGTGTGTGGATCGTACTTCACACCTGTGGCCATTTTTCCTAATGGTTTTGTGACTCTTGTGTCTACTATAGTGATGGAAGCTTCAGGTTTTACACAGAAAATGCTGTTTGATGGAAGATTGTTGAGTCAAGCCTTCACCTTAACAGACAGAATCAACTTTTCTGTTTTATTACACATTTCTGTGTTTGTGCTAAATGTTCTACTTAGCAAGATACGCAAATTCTAGTTTCCTCCATGATGTAGTGAATAAATAAACAAACCAGAAAACATAAGAAAAGAGGAATTAGGGGCTGGAGAGGTGGCTCAGCGGTTAAGAACACTGGTTAAGAATCCCAGCACCCACATGGCAGCTAATAAGTGTCCGTAACTCCAGTCCCAGGGGATCCAACAGCCTCTTCTGTCCTCCATAGGCATTGAACGATGGGTGCACTTACCTACATGCAGACAACACACACATACACATAAAATAAAAATAAATAAAATTTAAAAAGAAAAGAAGAATTAAGTTTTGACAAGTTTTTCAATAATAAGCAATTTTAAGTGGAAAAGTGGAGGGGAGGGTGGACTGGCATAGCTCACAAGACAAATAGGCAAATGTGAGAGACAGAGTAGAGGAAGGTGTGGGTCAAACTTAGAACCTTCTCAGTGCAGGGAGGGGCAGGGAGCCAAGGAAATCCCCAGCTACAGAGCAACTTCAAGGTCAGCCGGGACTATATGAGACCCTGTTTTACTTTTCCCCCAACACCCAAAAAAGAAGTAGAGCCTACTGAAAACTGAGTTTAGCTGTGATAATGCATATATTTAAAGTAGCTTGCAAGCAAAGATTTGAATAAGGTCCGTGCTGCTGACCTTAAGAATCTCTTTCTCCTCCCTCCCTCCCTCCCTCCCTTTCTCCCTCCCTCCCTTCCTTTCTGTGTTTAGAACCCACCCTGCTTCCCTCATTTGTTTTATTTCTTTGAATCAAGACAAAGTGGTTTGTGTATAAAAATATCCAGAGATTATATCACAGTAGCATGGACAAAAGGAAATTTTAGAAGTGAAATTTGGATTGGGGTGTGTGTGTGTGTGTGTGTGTGTGTGTGTGTTGAGATGTGGGTGTGGGTGTGGATATGCATGCACATATGTGTGACTACATGTGGAGGACAGAGGTTGATGTTCAATGTCTTCTTTAGTCGTTCCCCACCTTATTTCTGAGACTCCGTCTCTCATTGTCCTTGGAGCTCACTGAGGTAGGCTGGCTGGTAGGCTGGTAGTGAGGACCTCCTGCTCTGCCTCCTCAGTGTTAGGATGACAGGCGTACAGCACCGCACCTGGCTTTTTAAAAAAGTGTGTGTCAGGGATCTGAACTCAGGTCCTCATGCTCCTGTGGTGAACAGTCCACCAACTGAGCTGTCTCTCTAGTCCTTGAGATTTGAGTTTCAGTAAGAGAAATAGTCAAGGGAGTGTGGAGCAGAGAGTTCAGAATAAAAGGAAATTGGAGCGTGATCATGTGGCACACAGAGGAAGCAAAGCCTAGGCACATCAGCCTGAGCTGAGTGGTGATGTAGCAGTAATTCTAGCACTTGGGATATGAAGGCAGGAGGATCAGGGGAGCCTGATAGTAAGTCCCAGACCAGCCTGAGGTACTGAGATACTGTCTTAAACACAACAGAAAGTTTCAGACTGAAAGCTGTGTCAGCCAGTAGGCCTACATTGGTGGTAATAAAAGGTGGATCACAGGGCCTGGTGAGATGGCTCCATGGTTAAGAGCCCTGGCTGCTCTTGCAGAGGTCCAGGTTTGAGTCTCAGCATGCACATGGTGACTAACAACCATCCGTAACTCCAGTTCCAGGGGATCCGATGCCCTCTTCTGACCTCCGCAGGCATTGCATGACATGGGTGAGCTTATATGCATGCAGGGAATACACAATTTAGGCACATAAAATAAAATAGTAAATAAAATATATTTAAAAAAGACTCATTGCAGACAAGGTGGGACCAGTGGGCGAGGGCTACAGGCTTTGTCTGCAGACTGTTGAAACCAGTGGTTTAGGATTAAAGGAGACAGTAGTTACAAAGTTTTACTTCAGGATTAAAAGCCCCTTTGTAATTGTTAATTCAGGGTGATATCAGGAGCATACGTCTGATATCTCAGTCACCTGTTCTGATTGACCTGCTTGAATGTGCATATTCTTGACTCCTCAGTTGCCTAAAAGTCTATGCTGAGTTGATGCCATTGTTCAAACCTCAGAGTTTCAAGTTGCCCAGAGTGTTGTAAACAACCATTGTTAACTAGAGTTGGACTGGATCACATTCCAGGACACAGTGGAGTTGCTCCATGAACACTTCCCTTCAAATGCCCCTCCATCTCTCCTGGACATCTGCATGCTCCCAGGCTGGGGCTGCCTTCTCAGCGAGGCTTGCGTCTATAGCCCTCATGGATAGTTTATGCCCAGGACTTTTAAGCTCAGTCTTTTGGCTTTGAAGCATCCTCAACTGATTCAGTCATTTGTTTATTTTTAATGAGGTTATCTAATTTTGTAGTCTTAAAATTATGCCTTTGATTGTTAAAAACTGTCTGCGTGCTCAGGTTCCTCAGAGTAAGCCTGGCATGAAGTAATATAATAGGACTAATCAACGTGAGTGCTCAGAGGAAGGGCTGCCTTGAGATGGAAGGTTAGTAGCAAGTCGTTTACGTGTGTGTGTGTGTGTGTGTGTGTGTGTGTGAGAGAGAGAGAGAGGACTCAGTTTCCCTCCAGGAATCAGGACCAAAGCCTGTCAGCTCATTATACTGCTAGTTCTGAACTGTCTGAGAGCCTAGGATTTTACTACATTGAGCATTTCAACCGGGTCAGACCTCCATCTGTGCTGTCTAGCCTGTCACACTTCTGTTCAGCTCCTAGCCTCATAGAGATGTTCCACTTCCAGGTCCCCTGAATCTTGCTATTGTCCACACACTCAGGATTTAGCTTAGAACCAAGGAGAAGCCCTTCTCAAGACTTCTGGGATTCCTTTTCAGAAGCTCTCTCTTCTCCTGAACTTAAAAAAATAAAATCATGTTCATTTACTTATGTGGAGGGGGATGTGCACATGCCAGGGTGCACGTGTGGAGGTCAGAGGACAACTTGCAGAAGTCATTCTTGCCTTCTACCATGTAGGTCCTGGGGATGAGACTCAGGCCATCAAGTTTGGTGGCAAGTGCCTTTACCCGCTGAGCCATCTTTCTGGCCATGAACAGACATTTTAAAAAAAAGCAAGATGCAAAAAAAAAAAAAGAACTAGATATTCAAAGTACATTTTT